ACGAAATATTTTGTAAACTAAAATGGAGATCTAGATCTATAGCGATAAAATCATTAAAACTTAGATTTTCTCAACTTTATTTTTTTTACCTTCGGATTTTTTTTATACGCAATTGCGTATTGTGCGTAATGGGCGCTACGCCCTTGTGTACCTAAACAATTCAGAATTGTGCCCCAGTTCACATAAAAGTTTCTAGATTAATATCAAAGAGTAAGCAGGTATGACATTATATGCAAAACTGGGAACTGGCATTTTGGTAAAATGAATGAAATTTTGCATTACATATAATTTAATTTTATAAATTTCTGTCCTATTTTAAACAAGTTTACAAGCATTTAAAAACTATTTCATCATAATACAAAGATTTAAATGGGTGTTTTTAGTTTTTTCATGCCTGAAAAACAAGCATTCCATCATGTCAGAAGGCTAAATAACAACCTGTTTATGCTGAAAAACGAGCAATAACAGTCATAATTGTGTGACAATTTTATATGTCACAATAAATGTCTCAGTTAATGAAAGTGGGGGAGGACAAAACTCTCATTATTATAAAGGTGTTACTTTAGGACAAAAGATTTTACGACGCGTTTTAAGTTAGTTTGCATGTTTTCATCTATACCACAGGATTTTAAAATGGCCGTAGCCCAACCAGCCTTTTTATGCTAGCATGGTTTTTTTTATCAATTTTTTTTTTGCAATTGTTGCATAATGTTTAAGTTTATTTAAAAAATGATATATCCCCAATAGTTTAGAGTTCGGGTGCCAGGAATTATATCACAAGGCCGTAGTCCAGGTGATATAATGGTGCGCATCTGAACAACAAACAGTGATTTTATCAAACGAAAGAATCACTGCTTGGAATAAATCATTTCGATTCTAACACTATATCAACAAATAAATGCTGCCGAAGCTAATATCAAGCTAAACTGCACCTGATTTGTTTCCACACTTATTTTCAATGCGTCACATTTTTAGTGGTTACGTCACATGTTAAATATAGATCGTCAACATTGATTTTACTGCATATTATTACACACACACTTTTGCTCCTTCCATGTTCAATAGGGGAAAATGCCTGTTGTGTTAGAATAAAATTTATACATATAACTTTGAATACTAGTCACTTTAATGACTTACAATTGTCTGCTGCTTTTTTTGGTCAAATCCCTCATATTAACAATGGACTGTTCCAAATTAACTCTTAAACCCACTGAAATGATGAAAAATTGACTCGCCTCTGCCACAAAGATAGTGCCAGGCCAGCCTGAACTTATGTGTTGTCTGAACAGCCTCAATACCATTTGCCGACCAACTATTAATTTTCATCTTGATATCCCCAAATTTGTAAATGGACAATTCTAAAAATGGAAGCTGGACAAGTCCAATTAATAAATTCAGGAGGTTAATGTAAGTCTATGATACAATTTTAGCATAGTAATATTTAAACTAAAATTTAAAACACAACAAAAAAACACAACAGATAAAAACAGCCCTGAGATTGAATAGTAATGAAGTGATTAAATCAATGTTGTTTTCGCTTCATTTGCAAGTCCTAGTATATCTATATGCAATTGGTTTTTTTACATGTGTATATATAAACAGTTTATCATTCACTTAGTTAATGTTTTTTAATTTAATAATTTTGTACAAAGTCACATGAACACTGTTCACAGTACTTATATCAACAAGTAAAACTTAAAATACACAAAAAAAAATGTTTTTACAATTTTTACAATGGGGATCAAACCTTAAAGATAAAATGAGCCGCGTCACAACAAAACCAACATAATGCGTTTGCGACCAGCATGGAATCAGACCAGCCTGCGCATCCGCGCAGTCTGATCAGGATCCATGTTGTTCGCTATCAGTTTCTTTACTTGTTATAGGGTCTGTAAACAAACAGCATGGATCCTGATCAGACTGCGTGGATGCGCAGGCTGGTCTGGATCCATGCTGGTCGCAAACACATTATGTTGGTTTTGTCGTGACGCGGCTCAAATATCTTTGATGCTTTTTTTAAATCATTTAAAGTGTGATAATTAAGTTCATGCTGCAAGGTATAAACTTATCTAGAAAACAATGTGTCATTAATGCACACATCATTAAAATTTGAAGACAATAAAGAGATCTTAGATAAACTTAGATGTACCAGTAAACTGAAATAGATTCATCAGATATAATGACAAAGCAATTTTTTTATATGTAAAAAAAGTGCTCTCAGGTTTTATTTTTTACACTGTTACAAGTTATATTTTGATATTGTCACATATGACAAATTTTCTGTTCCTAATTTCATTTTTTCTTATATGGTAAATCGACATAAATACGGACAATCTGGTTAATACGGTCACTAGTAAGAATTACATATCATCAACGTCAGCACAACACAATAATTGCTGTGGAATATGTTTTACAAATAGATACATCTACAAATTACTGTTTACAGGATAAAGCTCAGCATCTCATTGTAAAAAGTATTCAAAATCTGCCCATATTGACTGTGATTTACCCTTATAAGATTTCTAAGAAACATCAGCATATTTTCAACCATCATAGGCAGTAGGATTACTATGCTAAAGTTGTACAATTGACCCAACCATTACCCCCACCCACCCCTACACCAACGAATGTGGATCTGTTCATTAGAATTGACTGGGATTTCAGTATGAAGATGTTAAAAGTAGCCATTAACAGTTTAGAGTATAATCAGGGTGCATGTAGGTGCAGCCTACCCTAGCTCCATACTGATGGCAAATGCATGTTACTAGTAATATTATTATTAGTTATACAAGTTGTTGATGGTATATATACTGGGAGAATATAGCCTGAATGATATAAATGTAACCTGAGGTGCTAGCCGAGACAGCAAGACTATATTCATTTGTTCATTTCAGAATTGGGTTTCCAAAAACACATAAATTTTTTACCGCAGCTACAGAAAGTCTACATATGTTTTAAATGAAAGGAAAATACACATGTACAATATTAAGGCACACCATTCAAACTGTGAGGAGTGTTAGAGTGTTATAAATAAAATATAGTTCACACTTACATAATGTACTACACTCTACAAGTATGCAATGGCTTCACAGTCTATCTTTTAAATAATTACTAAAATAACATGTTTATTACATCTTTTTATACTTTTAAAGGGACTCCATTGAGGTTTTTTGACATGACGGGACTGGAAATTTTTTCTGTAAGATTTTAATTCCATTTGATGTAGGTCTATACCAATATTATTTGTGTACAGATTTCAATTCACTCAGTTTTTCTAGAATACTCATTGTGAAATTGACCTTAAAATGAATAAACAGTTTGAAGGATTTCAACTCAAATCAGACTTAGATCAACTTTCTGTGTATATTTCTTTAGCATTTTCCGTTTTAAGTGCCTCAGTTCATATTTAAAGTTTTTGGACCAAAGTGGAGCTTCTTTAAGTTTAATTATATATACTGTCACCCTAGCAGTAAGACTTAAAAACCTTAAACCTAATTTTACATGCATTATAAAAGAATTACATTTTATATTATATGATTATTTATAATTACACACTTTAATTATTACCTTACTATTTGCGAAAGTCCTCTGAGCTTTGAGATTTTAAGTTGCAATTTTTTGCCAGCTTAAGTAATAAATATATTTTCATTTGCTTAGTTGTGAAGGAGAACAGTTTCTCATATAAAAGAATTTATTTCCCTACACAGGATTCCTATCTGTGATAGCAACTATCTTTTAAATGCAGATTTAAAGGAACTCCACTCAGAGGTCTATGAGCATAAATCATAAGTTGAATTTCTTACAAAATCTGCTGGGGCACTTAAAACAGAAAAAAAATGCAAAAGACAGTAAAAAAAATACTTGGAAATAAATAGAAAAATTGTATTTTTATGCTATTCTTAGCCTGATTTGTGTGAAAAGCCTTGCAACACTTTTTTTTGTCATTTTTCAAAATAGGAACAATTATTCTGGAAAAACGAAGTGAGAAAATTACCTGAAATTTGGGAGTGGAGTCCCTTTAATTCCTTCAGAAATTAATAGGGACAATTATTCTAGAAAAACGAAGTGAGAAAATTACCTGAAATTTGGGAGTGGAGTCCCTTTACATGTAATTCCTTCAGAAATTGTCTACGAATCTATAATATTGAAAATAGACCAATATTGTCTAAATTTCTTTGATTTTGTTTCAACACAGAAAATAAATGCAAATTTTGAAGCAGTCTAATTGATCTATGGGTGGAAAATTTTCAAATTCAAAGCACAATTTAAAAAGTTAATTGGTGCTTTTTCTATATAGATGGTCTTAAACAAAATCTTCTAAGATTTAAATTTTAAACAATGCTTATCATTTTGATGCAAATTGGCCATTAAAAAATTTAATATTGTCGAAATTCCATGATGTTATAGTAATTTTTATCTCATATCCATAAAGAACAAGAGCTAATTGTCTTTTTTTTTCCTTGTTGAAAAGACAATTATCTCATAATTTAAAGACACACCAAAGAAATAAAAGGCCTATTTTTGCTCTAATCTAAATATGGTTAAAAGCATACAAAATAATCTATTTCTGGAAACACATCATGACTTCAAAGCACACAAATTTAAAAGTTTGCTAATCTGTGTCATGTCACTGTTAGCTCTAAAAATAAACTTGAACAATGAACTTGTTTAAAAAAAATCTGAAATAGTTTTAAGGCTAGAAAAACAAAAATTTCATAACGGGATGATCATTTGCAATTATGTGTCAAAAGTGTCTGCACATTTCTTTCTAAATATATGGAACAGAGTTATTTTAACAATCCAAAAGCCAGGCGAAAAATTTTCATCTTAAATACTTCCTTATTTTAGACTCCTGCTAATTTTGCATACAAAAATTTTGTATATAGAACTGTGAAGCCATGCTAGTACTCTTAGAAAGTGTTAGGTTATTACAACAGTGAGGTGGTCACATCAAATAAATGGGAGGCAGAGATTTGAGGGGGCTAACACGCCTTACCGACCTTTTTTGCTTGATTTCAGACACGCTCGATGGAATCATTAAAGGAGAGAATAGTGGAGACCTTTCTGATTGTATAGATGTGTCCGTACGTCCGTATGTGAGAGGATTTTGTGTTTTCCGAAGGTTGAGATAAAATATGAGCGACTTTGTTCCTTCAAGCATGACGGTGAATGCAAATATTATCAAACAAACACAGACCACACCTGAAATTATAAAAAGCAAAACAAACTTATCAGTACCTTTGTACTATAAAATAACCTCTGAAAAGCGCTACTACAAGAAAAAAAAGTGCCTGTACTAAATGGAAATACATGTATTAATTTTTTTCGTAAATTCTTTCCAAATTCTGATTAATATGTAATATGCAAGAAAAGAATCAAACACAAACTGTCATCACAGTTCAAAAAATGGAGCTTTCGGGTTACTGTTAAGTGGAAAATCAGCAGAGCCTTGAGCCAGATTTTCCGGTCTATACCGTTAGCCGGTGTAAGATCTTATAGCCTGAAATAATGCACAAAAGTTCACTTTTCTTCTTCCTGACCCACCAGTCAACCTGGATAATGAAGTTGACAATGCAAAAATGACTTATTACTCAAATTTGAAAGGCAAATGTAGTTATGTAAAAATGCTTACCAGCGGAGCCATGGAAGTGTAGGTCCTCAAATATAAAGTTTTTCACAGTGTTCGAGAAGTAAAAGTATTCCTGAAAATAAAATCAAGAAAAAGATTGTCAAGTCTATGACAGATATCATTCATTTAACTAACTAAGATTTCTGGCTGTGTCACAGACACCAAGCTTTGTATGCTCCTATTTGGTTTGGTGCAATGGATAGTAGTTTTCAAGTTGACATGGTCAATCTATAATCAGCAAAATTAAATTAAGGGAATCTGAATACCTAAATCATCAAAAATGGCAGAACTTCTAAGGTTTGAAATTCAGGATGAAATTTTTCAATGCCTAAAGGAGTAACAATAAATTAGCAAAACAAAGTCACAAAAAAAACCTTGACCAAGTGTTATCAAAGTCATGGAATGGCAACATTTACACCATGATGAGGAAGATAACCCTCCCTCTTAGAATAATCAAACTTAAACCAAAAATATCTCCTTTGTACAAATAAAAGTAAAATTTTGTTTGCAAAAATTCTAAATAAACATCCAGAAATCCAAAAATCTATTTCCTTGCCATGCTTTCGGAAATGTTCCTTATTTATTAATTTCTGGTTTCTTTATCCTTTTCCAAACTTATTACGCAGATATTCCAGAGAAATTTCACATAGTTATATTCCACATATATTCCATTTATATTTCACATCAATTTTACTTCCTTTGACTTTGCAGATGTTTAAGCTTTTAAAATTTAATGATATCTAATTTTTTTTATACATCTATTCCATGATATGTATCATATTTCACTGAAAATATGTCATTTATCCAAACAATTTTATTCAAACAATTTCTATGCAAAATCACTATGGTATCACAAACGTAAATCAAATATTTAATTAAGGTGCACCATTTCACTCTGTACTGTAAATTCATATTTAATATGAATAATTTTATTTCAAACGTCATTTTAAAATGAAGTTTTTTCTATAGATCTTTTTTTGTTAAGTCAGCACAAATTTGTTTCAATCTATTCGATCAATTTGATTGTTTAAGCCTGGGGTTTGCATATCTCTACCCTGGGTAAAGTGTTAACTGTAAAGTCATTACTAATTTGTTTTAAAATAGATCCATTTAATTTTTCATAAAATCTTTTATCTCTGATATTTTTCAGTTTCAGCCTGGGGTAAAACACATTAATGATGAAACATAGACAAATCTACTGGTGTACAACTGTACCCTGTGTTAAAATGAGGCTAATGACAATCAATCTCTCATCTTTTTAAATGATCAAAAACTGTAAATTTGTCTGAAAGCATTCATATTTTTAAAACATATATTTTTTACATTAATTAGAATAAAAGTTTGAAGCCTATTTAAACAACAACAAGTCTGTTTCCAGGAACCAACCATCGATATATTGGTGTCATTTTATAAGTGCATAAGATACACAAAGCCAATGTACCATGTTTTGCAAGCCTATGCAATTCATTGTGTACAATGTCTTGAAAGTTTATGCAATTCATTGTTTACCATGCCTTGAAAGTCTATGCAATTCATTATGCACCATACCTTAAAAGCCTATGTAACTCATTGTGTACCTTGTCTTGAAAGTTTATGCAATCATTTTATACCATGTCTTGCAAGCCTATGTTATTCATTGTGTACCATGTCTTGCAAGCCTATGTTATTGATTGTGTGCCATGTCTTGAAAGTTAATGCAATCATTGTGTACCATGTCTTGAAAGTCTACGCAATTCATTGCGCACCATGCCTTAAAAGCCTATGTAACTCATTGTGTACCATGCCTTAAAAGCCTATGTAACTCATTGTGTACCATGTCTTGAAAGTTAATGCAATCATTGTGTACCATGTCTTGAAAGTCTATGCAATCCATTGTGTACCATGCCTTGAAAGCCTATCTAACTCATTGTGTACCATGTCTTGAAAGTTAATGCAATCATTGTGTACCATGTCTTGCAAGCCAATGCAATTTATTATGAACCATGTCTCATAAGCCTATGTAATTCATTGTGTACAATTTCTTGCATGTCTATGCAATAAGTGTGTACCATGTTTCACAAGTCTATGCAATTCATTGTGTACCATTTCTTGCATGTCTATGCAATAAGTGTGTACCATGTTTCACAAGCCTATGCAATTCATTGTGTACCATGTTTTGAAAGTTTATGCAATTCATTGTGTACCATGTCTTGAAAGTCTTTGCAATTAATTTTGTACCATGCCTTGAAAGTCTATGCAATTCATTGTGTACCATGTCTTGAAAATCTATGCAATTCATTATGTACCATGTCTTGAAAGTCTTTGCAATTAATTTTGTACCATGTCTTGAAAGTCTTTGCAATTAATTTTGTACCATGTCTTGAAAGTCTTTGCAATTAATTTTGTACCATGTCTTGAAAGTCTTTGCAATTAATTTTGTACCATGTCTTGAAAGTCTTTGCAATTAATTTTGTACCATGTCTTGAAAGTCTATGTAACTCATTGTGTACCATGCCTTGAAAGCCTATGTAAGTCATTGTGTACCATGCCTTGAAAGCCTTTGTAACTCATTGTGTATCAATGTCTTGCAAGCCTATGTAACTCATTGTGTACCATGTCTTGAAAGTTTATGCAATCATTGTGTACCATGCCTTGAAAGCCTATGTAACTCATTGTGTACCATGCCTTGAAAGCCTATGTAACTCATTGTGTACCATGTCTTGAAAGTTTATGCAATCATTGTGTACCATGTCTTGCAAGCCAATGCAATTTATTATGAACCATGTCTCATAAGCCAATGCAATTCATTGTGTACCATGCCTTGAAAGTCTACGCAATTCATTGTGTACCATGCCTTGAAAGCCTATGTAACTCATTGTGTACCATGTCTTGAAAGCCTATGTAACTCATTGTGTACCATGTCTTGAAAATTTATGCAATCATTGTGTACCATGCCTTGAAAGCCTATGTAACTCATTGTGTACCATGCCTTGAAAGTTTATGCAATCATTGTGTACCATGTCTTGCAAGCCAATGCAATTTATTATGAACCATGTATCATAAGCCTATGTAATTCATTGGGTACCATTTCTTGCATGTCTATGCAATAAGTGTGTATCATGTTTCGCAAGTCTATGCAATTCATTGTGTACCATGTCTTGAAAGTCTTTGCAATTAATTTTGAACCATGTCTTGCAAGTCTATGCAATTCATTGTTTATCATATCTGGCAAGCCTATGTTATTCATTGTGTACCATGTCATGCAATTACAAGAACCTGCTACCTCCGGTAACTGACCACTCTTGGGAGCCTTAAGTTTTATTTTAAACTTTCTTCTAACCAGGATATAGACTCTTTTATCAAGTAGGGCTCTTAACTCATTATCCCACCATTGAGAGGTGGATACCAATACCACTATGGCACTAAACCCCATGAGACTTAGCTGCTGGTTAGTACTGTGCAAACATGATTAATTAGGTTTTAATGGTACAGGTAAAAGATGTCATGAATAAATGTTTATTCACCATATCAAGTTCGGATTTTTATCATCATCACAATAATTATCATCAACATAGACACATTTCAGAGATGTCAAAAAACAATTTAATTTAATAAGGAATATGACCTTTGATTAACCTTTATTGTTTGATTAAGTGGGGTAAACATATCACTGATGGGTTTGTTTAATAACCAGTTTTGAAAATATTTTCAAAGTCATTCACCTGACCAGTAGGTATTCAATCTTACATTTAGTGTTCCCCCTAGATTTTGTACCTTGTCATTACTAGTCGCCTTTAATTCGCCTTTAATTCGTGCAAGTAGGTGCCAGTAGATATTATCTGGAACTCGGCAAAATTATATGTTTAATATGTTGTACCTGGTACATACCTAGTACATAATAAACTGTTACCACAGTTCAGTACAATTCACAATACATATAAAGAACCATTTTGCAGTTACATGTATAACTGTAAAAGTTTGTTTGTACACTAGATTAGCTGCGAAATCCCAAAATATTCTTAATTCTTGAGTAAGTTGATTATATATAATCAATCTATATATAAACCCTATAATAAATCATTTTTGACACTGCATCAGAGCATACTTAACCACTTAGGTAACATTTTCCACACTTTTTTTCCCCGGAACTTAATATTAGTAAAAATGAATTAATATTTTGTATAAACAAATAAATATTTCGTAATTACGAATTAACATTTCGTAAAAACGAATAATTATTTCATAATTACAAATTAACATTTTCGTAAAAACGAATTAAGTGCCGAAAAAATGTCACCTTAGTGGCTCTCAAGAGGCTGAGCACATACAAACATAAGACATTATTTTCAGTCGAATTGCCAGACAAAAACATGACTGTGACAAAACAAGGGGTCAAACTCACAGACCAAGGTCCAAGGTCATAAAGACCTTTTCTAAGCTCAAACTCAGATCTGAGATATTTGATTGGTCAGAAACCAGCACAAAATGTAAATTGACCAATGAAAATATATAGATTTGAGAGAGAACTCAGAAAAATGTTTTAACCTCATGGCCCAATGCGGGAGGTTCTAACACTTGTCCTATTGTGCTTTTTAGGCTGACAGTGGCAACTGATGAAAAAATACCTTAACTGAACAGCTGAGAGCTTTTAATTAATTTGTCTAACAGAAAATATATTAGTATTAATATTGTGATGAAATTGGAAATTATCATGTATGTTATAATTGTAATATTGTTACACAGTTATGCAGCTGCCGGTGTACTAAAGTACATGTGTACTAACTTTAGTAAAGTACATGTTAAGTTAGTTTTATATTAATTTTTTTTATAATATGTAATCTTCCATAACATATGACATTGTGTATTTCTGTTAAAGTGGCCTTCATGCTTTTCTAAAGTTTAAATATGTTATTTTTAGATAAATTGTTTCATATAATTGTCAAGTCAAAAGAATGGAAAAAAGGTGGAAAAAGCAATTTTCCTGACAATTAAATAGAAATACAATAAGGAAACCCCTCGATGCCTCTAATTCTCTATATTTAAATTACTAAAGTGGATGATTCGTTTCCTGATATTCTATTTTTAGAAACAATG